ATTCGTCACTTATTCGTCGCATGGTTTTGTCGGCGCGGTTTTGTCACCGTGGTTTAGTCAGGTGCGCTTTTGTTGTTCGCGTATTTGTGGTGGAACCCTTTTTTAGTATCTTGACAGGTTAAAAATTGATAGATCTTCGACAACATTTTCTTATCTCCGCCAAACAAAATCTTATCCAACTCCTGAAGGTTTGGGTAGATGCCAAACCGTTCCTTATCGCTTTTAAACCTATCTTGCTTTATTTCTGATAATTTAACATTCAAATGATGACTTGAAATATAAGAAATGTACAATATGTTTTACAGGTGATAACCCAGGCCAGTGGAAGTATTTCTCATCATACTATTCACACTCAGCCAGTGGGGAAACAGTTTGACAGAGTGGATGACTTTTTCATTCCATCTGCAACTCTCCTTATTACCCACATAAGGTAGGTGAAAAACTATAATAAGGTTGAGGTTGGGTGTCAGATATTGAATCAGACATTTTATTTGTATTTATTCTCTTAATAACTCACCTTTCCTGCAAGTAGAATAAACTCTGTCACATTTATTTTCATGACAACATTAAGAACATTATCAGTCTGTGAGCTTCATGGCTGATCAAATCAATCTCAGGCTAGCACAGTATACGTTGTGCTATACTCATGGGTATTTGAATCTATATGAATGTCACTTTTACATAAAACTGTTATTGCTCTTAGTAGATTTGTTCCACAAAGTCTCAACTGCTTTTAAGCATTTCTATAATACAATCCTGCCAAAATCTAATCCAACACTCTGTGGGATTTACTCCTACATAAGGTGATTTTAATTTGCAAGTAGACTCTTCCATTTAGTGTTTCCATCTTTATATATTACTCTTAGTCCTGAATCTAGTACTTCTCCTACTGTAACGGAATTGTATAAAAATTGTATTTTAATTAATGCATTGTTCACCAGGTTTACATAGCCATTTATTCAGATCTTGTTAAATAGAATGATGGGCACAATGGGATTCTTTGTAATTTAACATATCTTTTGCATTCTAATGAAATGTAATGACTGTATTGTTTCCCATAACTCATTAATAAAGTTTAAGAAAATATAAAAACATAAATTCAATTTCAATCCTTCTGCTCCTAGTGAATGCCTTTGCTGTTAGTTGTATTTTTCTCTTTATTTTTAACCTAATCTGTTAATNATGGAATGGAACAGAATGGAATAGAATATTATCACTTTAAATGTACACTAATCAACAACATTAAAATGAAATTTCATTGCATTCAGCTCTCAAAAGATAACCATTATGCTATGGTTGATGGTTGCTTTCAAACTTAGGTACTATGCCAAAGTGCTTAAACTGTTCTGTAAAACTTATTAAATATCCTATGCTAGATAACTTGTGAGCTGATCAAAATGTATATTGCTAAAAGAAGTCATTTTACACAGAACCATTTACCAGTTGTAGTTTAAGCCTATTTATGAAAAATAGCAACCCCAAACCAGCTGGGTTGTATTTGAAGGATCTGGGCATAAATGGTGGTTCAATTCTTCAGGAGGGTCAGCATGGAATTGTTCATAGAGTACTTCATTTTACCACCAACTCTTGTGTTGAAATCCACACTTAGTGAAATATATGTGCTGGGAAACTTGTTCAGGCAAAAAGTGAGGAAAGTATCAATCTGGTTCCAGATTTATATAACACGTGGATGTGGTTCTAAGAAGAAGAAATAAATGAATGCGCAGTAAGGAAAATTAGTCAGACTAACAAAGGTAATATATCATTCTCAAATTGAAGTAATTGTTTTACAATTTAAACACAAGTTGGAAGCTGAAGACCTACTTCTTCATGTCTGTTAACTCTGAGACTAGAATGTGCAGGATGTAACAGAAAAAATGTAATTGGGATTGAAAAATCCCTCAACATCCATGTACCCTAAAAAAAAAATCAAATTGATGCAGAGATCTAACAAAATGAGGGTCTGCTTGTTTTAAGGTCACTCCAGTTATGTTCCAAATGATGAATATATTGTGGCAGGATGTAATTGTTGCTTTGCTGATTCTCTTGAGCTGCTTTGTCTGGATAATTGTGCAAAAGGAGCAACATTTGGGTTGAATAAATTATTTTTTGGGGAGAAAATATAGAACAGAGCCCTTGTTGCTATTTAGGTGAATTTTATATTGTGTCAAGGATAAATCTATAGGAGAAGTTTTATGGACAGGGCAAATAAAGGCCAGAATGGGGATCAGAGGGAGAAGGGAGACATATTCAAAGTTCCTACGGAAAGAACACACTTTCAGGTAGAAATAACAAATTGTAGATACGGCAACTTTTGGATGAGTAGAATCAGGGGGAACCAGTGGAGATGAATCAGGCTGTTGACTAGTCTGTTCTTTAGATCACAGTTTTAGAGATTATCACCTGTAGGCTGATTATCTGGAGAATTATAGAAGGATTGCATTACATTGATCAATTTGGTGTTCCCTTCATTTGTCTGAATTACCTTTGAATGGAGCACGTTCTTTTTAAGGATGCTAAATACTCAGACAATGAACTTGTCAACATTTCAACAGTTGGAGGGAGTAAAGTGTTGAGGGACTCAGTTGCAAGCAGTCACTGAAGCACTGCCTCGGGTTTGTGTATAATTATTTGTTGTTCTTCTGTAGAAAGTATGCCAAACAATTGAGTAAGTTTTCCTCATCCTCCATAGGATTGACTGATGTCTGTATCTTCCCTTTAATTAAATTGAGTGTGTAATGCCTCCTATGCTTATCTGGTCCTGACCTTGGATTTGGTAGAACACTCTGCTGTGCAGACAGTTGTTGGCAGATATTATGAACTCTGGGGCTTATGCCATCCTTCCTCGCAGGCTTGGCTCTCCTCCCAGAATTTAGCAGAGGCGTACATTGCTATTGTGAAAGACTCGTATAGACATAATTTGAAATCCCTCAAAAATTGTTAAATTTAAAAAGCATTGAAGAGAATGCAAAATGCCTAAATGTCAATATTATTCTTTCAAATTCATGCAATCGGGGAAGTCATGAGATTTCTGTAAGCTTCCTGGGATATGTTCCACAGTGAAGAAATTGTTAGAGAAGGAGCAGTACTGCTTGTCTGTTGTGCCATTTGCCCTTATTAGGAGTATTAATTGCAACCTGGAGCAGTCACTACAAAAGTAGTTTACCCCAAGGGATCCTGGGAAACATATGGATTTTGAATAAGGTCTGGCGCAACTGAGTTGGTGGATAACTACATAACAGGTTTAGTTATAAGCTTTTCTATTATAGCCTTCATGTATTTTCTGATTGGAATCTAGCAGCTGAAAGAAAATTGCAATAACTGTTTTAGCAGTAAAAAAGCAATTCTTAGAAATGAAGTACACATCCATATTTAAATCACTTGTGGTTTTAAAACTATCCTTTCCTATATCTACTACAGAAGCCTCACCATATGAAGGAAAATTATCGACTTCTATCAAATAGAGCATAGAATTTATTAGCATAGATGGAGAAGAAAAGGGAATACAAGTCCTTAATGCTGGAACAAATCCTTTAGTTTTAGCTGCCTGGAAGTTTCTTGACCTTAGAGCAGTGATAGCTAATCTTTTTCCCATCACATGCCAAAAGCAGGGGGAACTAAGGGGGGGGTGTTATACACGGGCGTGCCCACACCCATAATTCTATGGTTGTGCCCCTGTGCACATACGCACACAACCCCCACTCTTCCCCGCTTTTGGCTCGCAATGGACCCGTTTTTCACCCTTCCTGGGCTCCAGAGGCTTTTTTAGGAGCCTGGGGAAGGTGAAAGCGGCCCCCCCCCCGAAGGTCTTCCAGAGGC